GCCCTCTCTCTCTCTCTCTCTCTCTCTCTCTCTCTCTCACACACACACACACACACACACACACACACACACAGAACCATACATTCAGAAAACGCCCTGGGTGAAAGAAGTGTCTGCTGTTTCTAAAAATCCACACCCACCCGAAAAACAACCCCAAGCACACAAGGGCCAATAGCCTGGTGCCCATGAGTGCCAGTTTGGCAATCTCTGGTCCATGGGTTGTATCAGATGCAGTGCCAGCAGGGTTCCACTGGAGCAACAGGGCTTCCATTTTCTGTCTATCCCCATCCGTGCAGGACCAAATTTTTGTATGGCCTCCAACACTTCAGAGCCGATTCTGAGGCTCAGGGGGTGCAGGAAGGGCCAGAAGAGGAAGAGGAAGTTTCATTGCACGTCTAGAAGTCCCTTCACCTGCGGAGCTGTACCACTGGATACAGACCTAAAGAATTCTACAGACATCTCAGTTCATTGCAGGCTCGCCAAATTTGTGACTCAGTAAATTGAATGTAGGCCACTTCCTGTTCCCTGTGGACTCCTAAGTGTTTGACACCCACCCTCTCTCCCCGCCCCCCATTACAGGGACGTGATAGTGTGCCTTTCGTGTGTTAGGTTCCAAATACAACCCTCAGTATCTCTAATTAAAATCTGCTTGATCAAGACCCTGGCAGGCCACAAAGCATAGCTGGGGGAGGGTCCGCAATAAGCTTGATGGGTCAGAAGTTGTGCAGGCCTGTTTTATTGAAAAACAGTAAAAATGAAATCTGTGAAGAGTAGCAGTGCACCCACTCAGACACTCATACTTATTGACAGGTGCTGTATAAATAAAACCAGTCTTTGTTAAATGTCAGGTCAATCTCCGTGTATGTTTATAGTGACTAGCTGTAAAGGAGTTGAGGTCTCCAACATCATTAATAGCTGTGTAGCAAGAGGGAATTTCAGCAGGTATAGATTTTCTTACCACCACCAAAATTCTTCCTTCTGCACAACTCTTTAGGACAGTCTCTTTTCAATGTTGTTTAACGGCGGTCCCTTTGAGGTTTGCATTTGGACTAATGGAGAATCATTAGCAGGAGGGAGTGATGGCTGTGATGCAAGGAACAGTGGGGCATGCTGTTCCTTTTCTTTTTCTTCTTTTGAGATTAGCCTTTCTAGTGGGAGGATTATTGGCTTAGCACTTTCTATCTTCTTAGTGGCAGGCTGGTCTTTCTCGTTCCAAGGCGCTTTTCACTTTAATCTGATTGGCAAGTGAATCAAGGGTGCTGCTGGCTTAAATTGGGCTGGTTACCTCTTTTTGGTTTTTACTAATGCTAATCCTTTTGTTTAGGGACATGAAGAAGTCCCATCAGATGCTGTTTTGGGGTACTCTGGTAATCTGCTAGTTACTGCCGTAGGGGTAGGCAAGTGATGTTTGGTAGGCCCTGTTGTGTCTTTCTGTTTATCTCTCAGCAAAACTCCTGTTACTAAGGTTTTCCTTACTCTCATATTATGCTAGTCTCACTTTATGTATGAATTGGTAGCGGAGTTGCTTCTGTATTATATTCCTTTTTCCTCTGTTTTCCCCCCTTTTGTATCAGGTCTACTAGTGCCTCAAGTGCATTGGCAGAAAGGTAAATGTAATATTTAAAAAAAATGTAAAAGAGTGAACATTGGCAGAAGCTTTGGCAAAGCCCTCCCTTATTGTTGGACCTGTTTCCAGTACAGGTGTGGCAAAGACCATCCATACTTAGTAAAATTGTGTCCCTGCATTGTACAGTTCAGCAAGCCAACCTGATTTGAAAGCTCAAGGGTCAAGAGCAGGCATAGGCAAACTCAGCCGTCCAGAAGTTTTGGGACTACAACTCCCATCATCTCTAGCTAACAGGATCAGTGGTCAGGGATGATGGGAATTGTAGTCTCAAAACATCTGGAGGGCTGAGTTTGCCTATGCCTGGTCAAGAGTATCACATAATCGGCTCTTGCCTGTTGGTGCAAGGAAGGAGACATGGGACTCAGTTACATTAGTAAAGAAAAAGTGCTTTATATGAGTTATAACACTGACACCAGATGGCACTGCGAAGTCTCATCTTTCACCAATGGGATTTCCCATTATGAAGTTTACAACGCATTTAGCTGAATCACTTTTTTGATGTGTCTAGATCCAGTCATGTTCTAGGCAGGTGTCCCTGTGGATCCCTTTATTTATCCAGATCTCTGGTGGTGGTGTGGTGTCACTTGATGAAATCCTGCCTGACACCCCTCCATTGACCTGTTCAAGATAATCTGTGAGGCGTTTTGATGCTTTCATGTGCCTCAACTGTTCAGTTCCTTCAGTACTGCATAGTTCTCTGCTGCATTCCTGCAGTCTACAAGGCATCTCATTGTTTTATTTTTGGAATCGTGGAAGAATAGGGTATGGAATTAGGGCCTGCAGTTGGTAAGAAGGAACTGAGACTATGGTTTGTAGAGTGAATATATATATCTCCGCTCCCAGTGATTTGAAGCCCTATTCTGTTTCCTGACATTTCAGAGCTTTGGAAGCTGATAGAATTCATTATGGCTAGAAATTTGCTCATTTTACAATGAAAGATGAAGATTTCTGAAGTCTGATTGGCCAAATTAAATCCTGGAACTAGATTCTGTGATCTGCACCATGGTTTGAGTTGCAAAATAACCAGGCATCATTAGCTTTTGGGCAGGAGCTCTTATCTTTTCTCATATATGCAGTTTTGGTCTATCACATTTAGGTTTTCAGTCTGACTTGGGAGTGATTATAGCAGCTTGTTTTATTTCCTTGTTTCCAATCTACTGAAGCATGTCTATTAAATATATGCAAGTTGTCTGCATCACCCAGTACAATGCTGATTATCTCATGCTCTCCCAGATTGTGCTTCCATTTGTGATTATTATTAAGACCATTTTCTTCAGCAACCTTGACTTCTAAAGCTCTGCAATTTGTTGCCTCCAGAATAGTGATGAGTTATCAACAAGCAATTTGCTGTAAATTTGGTGACTGAAGACTGTGCAGATTTGCATTGCTTCGCCTTATTTCTGTTCCTAGCAGACAAAGTGACTCAAACACACGGCTGATTTCCTACAAAAATGCTGGCAAGAAACCTGGTTAAGGATTACCAAGCAAGCATACCAAAATGTGTACTTTTATAAATCCCTTTGAGATGCAGTGCAGTCCCAGTAACTGGGCAAGGGTCTCTGCTGGCAACAGGGCAACTGTACCAAAATGAATTGCTGTGAAAATAAGAGGACAGGGTTGTCTTCACTCAAGGTGCCGTATTGTCTGAAATGACAACAGTTCAAATCTTCTGGAAGAAATAATACCACCACCCGAAGTAAAACTGTGTATGATATGATATTTAATGCTCCAGCTCGATGGACTTAATGCATAATAAACACAATATGTTTAGAATTCAATATATGAAAGAAGGGTGGGGGAGCGCAACCCCTTCCACACCCCCAGAATTTATGACCCATGCTAAGAACATTTGTCAGAAGTTAGTAGGTATCCAGCAGTTAGAAAAAATGGGATTTCTGCTTGTGCAGTCATTAAGGCAGACTAATGAATGACAAAATATAATAGCATATGTTATCTTTCCCAACCCTAGGACAGAAGGAGGCTGATGAAGTAATTTAAACCTCATCATTTAGGTCTCTTTCTCTCTCTCTCTCTCTTTCTCCCCTCTAGTAAAAAAGACTGTGCAGATTTGCAGAGCTCTCCTTAGAAATGTTGTTAGTTTCATCAAAATGCTTCTCTCGCCCCTTGAAACTGCTCAGGTGGTTTTGCCAAGGAGGAATCTGCAAACATTTTGAGTTAGACAAAGCCCAGTGGCAACTGAAGCCTAGGACCAACTACCTTTGGCCTTTTGCTGGCAGTTTCTGTACCAGCTGCCGATAAACATAGAAAGTTCTGGTGAGAGGTCGATGGTAAAGCTTCCATGTTATTTATTTCCTGTGGGTTCTCCAAGTACAGGATATCTTAGAAATTTTGTCAGTCTTATTGAAGGTAATTTTTATTCTCTCAAAATTTTGCCTGAGGAGGAACCTCCACCTCAAAACTCTGCTTTCTGTGGAATTTACTGGCCAGTCTAGCCGTATTTATTCAGTGTACATTTTCCTTCCATAAGTGTGTTTATTTCCCCTTCTGCTGAAGCTAATGGAACTTTGCATGCCTGCTGAGGAGATAATATATACATTGCGTCCTTCAGCTTTGAGGTATTTGTCAAAATGGCAGTAGCGAGAAAATGAATTATAAGCAGGTAACACTGTTGTTATGCTGAGGAGCTGACAGTTTCAAATTTTAGCTGGGGAGTGACGATCTGATAAGACAACAACCCGCTGGGAATGAAGCAGGTTTTGGACATTACTGGGTGATCACATGACTCTCATGGAGAAAGGAAAACTGTTCAGAGAATCTTTATGCTCTGAATAGAATATATAAAGCTTGGTTTCCACAATTTCTTCCAGTGTGAGGCAAAACAATGATAAAGCCATTTTCTTTCATTCATTTAATACATTTTCCCCACACTGTCACAGAGATGTTGTTGTTTTTTTACTCCTGATATGCTTTATTTCCCTAAGAAAATATCTGAATAATGACTGTTTTATGTATAATTCCAGAAGGTTGGTATCTGCTGTGATAACTGAGGGCTCCATTGTGATAACACAGATTTTAAACTGTTTGAAATTCATCAAGTGACCACTGGTTCCCTAAAAAGAAAACAACCTGTGGGGACTGGAAATTATTTGTCGGAGATCTCCAGCCCTTTCTACAACTGCTATTCTCAGCATCATGGCAGTTCGACAGGTTTGAAAGTGGTTTACACTACAATTCTACACTATTCAAAAATAGTATCATTGAATTTAATGAGGCTGTCTAGGAAATTTGGTATAGGACTGCAGCCTTGAGTATGCAATATGGACATGCCTTTTAATACTTGGGTAGTACAATGCCATGGGCCAGCTGAGATGTAATTAGAATCAGAGTCCAACCCCCTGCAATGCAAGAACCTTTTTGACCGATGTGGGGCTCGAACCCATGACTCAGAGATTAAGAATTTCATGCTTTACCAGCTGAGCTATAGTAATAGGACTGTGCACTGGATTTGGCCAAAAGCCCACATTCCAGGCTGGGTTTAGGAGGCCTGGGCTTTGGCTGAGTCAGGGCAAAGATTGGGGAAACAGATCCTCACCAGCTGGTGAATGGGGATTCAATTCTACAGGCCACAGGACGCTCCTTTCCATGGGCCCCAGGGGAAAGGTGATTGCAAAGCAGGGCCCTGCAAGATGGAATCCACCAGCTAGTTAGTGGAAGATTCAATTCTGCGGTCTGCAGTGTTCTCCTTCACAAGTGCCTTCAGCAAAGCAGCATCCAGCAGAACTGAGTCCTCCTGCTCTTGGTCAGGGAGGGGGAAGAAACACAGGTCTCTTTCTTTTCCCCTGGCTGCATGTAGGTATTTTGAAAAACCCAATCAAACATTAGCAACCCCCGCCCCCAATTGATTCAGGGTGGAACCTGGGCTGGGTGTTGTCCACATCAGGTGAGCTGGGATCCTGCGCTCCCTTAGCAGCCCCAAAGCAGCTATAGGGAATACATGAAGCCAATAGCAATGACATCCATTAAAGCATTGTATTGTTAAATCGATTTTTCAAATATATGTGATTGTTATCACGGTATTTTTTGTTACTTAGTTGTACAGTACAGTGGTACCTCAGGTAAAGTACTTAATTCGTTCTGGAGGTCCGTACTTAACCTGAAACTGTTCTTAACCTGAAGCACCACTTTAGCTAATGGGGCCTCCTACTGCCGCCGTGCCACTGGAGCACAATTTCTGTTCTCATCCTGAAGCAGAGTTCTTAACCTGAAGCACTATTTCCGGGTTAGCGGAGTCTGTAACCTGAAGCGTATGTAACCTGAAGCGTATGTAACCCGAGGTACCACTGTAAATACGGTACTTTTGGAATTTTTAAAGTGAGATGCAGTATATGTTTAATAAGCCCAACCTGGCCTTAATCAACACCCACCAATCAAACTGTTGCTCACTGCCCCCACCATGCCAGTCATGCATGGAAGACCCTGGGCATCATGTGGTGAAGGTGGGCATCTCATGACAACATCACAGAACTCGTTCCATATCCCTGTCCACAAACATGCCAGCAGAAAGAACTCACTGAAATGCCAGGAATAACTCATAGAAGTCTTTACTCTACTTAGCAACAAAATATTGCACTGATAACTAAAAGAAAAGAGGATGGGTTCAGTTGCAACTGAATGTTAATCCCAACTCTCAGCCTGCTTTCATTTCTTTACCAAACTCCTAGCCTAGGCTAGGATTTGAAGTCCAGGTATAAGAAGGTTCTGGCTGAACAGTGTTTTTTTTCCTGCTGTTGCTGATCAGCATACATTCTGGCCTTTGTACTGCTTTTCTTTAGAAGTCACTTCACTTTTCCCTTTCTCTCTTCTTCCCCTCACCTTTATGCCTTGGAGCATAAAACACAAGTCTAGTCTTGTGCTCCTGAGACCAAGGATGCCACACTTCTTATATATAGGAGCAATCTTTCAATTTCAAGACAGGAAGGGACAAGTGAGTTCAGAAAAGAAAATAACCCTCTGATCATCTTTGGATGGCTTCGAAATGTGTTGCTGACATTTCTCACACTTTATTATGTAGGCTCTAAGAGCCCGAGATGTTGCAGCATTACTTGAGGCTATGTTGGGTGAATTTGGCATGGGAGGGAAACAGAAAACATTCAGTATAAGGGCAAGATAAAAAAATAAAAATTCTCATGAGATTTCCTGCCAAAATTGCAGACATAAATGAAAAATGAGACCTTTTAAAAAACCCCAAAACCAACAACTTATTGAGTCAATATAGAATTCACAACCTTTTTGATATTATCCTGTGGAGGTTTTTGTGTCAAAGCACATAAAATTTCTCTGCTTATTCCATGCCAGATTTTTTTTTTTTTTAAAAACCCACACAAAGCCACTGGGGTTGAAAAGTAACATTTAAGATTGAGTTTCAGAATCTCAGAAACAGCATTTCATGGGTCTGAGCTGGTGCACATGGTACTACTAGATTTCAGGTTGCCAAATACTGCTATACAATCATAAGATTGTAGAGATGAAGGGATCCCAATAGGCATTTAATCCTGCAATGCAAGACCCACAGCTAAATAATCCCTGACAGATGGCCATTCAACCTCTGTTTAAAATGAAAGAGTCCACCCCTTTTTGGGGCTGTCCATTCCACTATCAAGCAATTTACTATCAGAAAGTTCTTCCCAGTGCTTAGTTGGAATCACTTTTCTTGCAACTGGTTTGGGTTCTACCCTCTGGAGCAGCAATAAACAAGTTTCCTTCATCTTCCATGTGACAGCTCTTCACCTCTCAGTCTTCCAGGCTAAACACACCCCACTCTTTCAACCAGTCCTCATAATGCTTGGTTTCCAGAACTGTTATCATTTTGGTTACCTTCTGCTGTACATGTTCCATCTGGTCAATATTCTTGCATAATTGTGGTCCCCAGAACTGGACACAGTAATTGCAGTGTGTGACAGGCGTGACGGTACTTTTTCCACTCATGCCATTGGGCCTGCTCTCACTTAGATAAATTGCTCCCCACCTCACTGAACAACCCTTTACCTGAAGGTTTCTTTTCCTTTCCTCTTAAAATTCTAACCCAGATTATCCTGCGGGGGACCTTTATGAGGGGATATTTAGTAAGTTGTAGTCTCAGACAGGCTTTCTTTAAATAAACAATAAAGATTTATTTAAGGCAAGATAGTGTATAACACAAATGGATTCAATTTAGGTTACTTCAAGAATACAGTACGATTTCACTTTAAATTTGTCCTCAGTTGTTTTTGCATTATTGGTTTGGTTCCTTGATACTTTCTTTCAGTTATCCACCCCCTTTAACAATCCTGCTCCTGAGGTACTTTAAGTAAATAGACCACAGGGCTCTCCACGTCCCCTCCCTTTGCTGGGTCTGGGAGTTTCTTCTTTTCCTCAGAAGAATCTCTCCCCTCCAGACTAGATTTGAGTCCCAAGTAGGCTGTTCCTTTCCAGCTCCTATTCTCCTGGCTCAACCTCTGCCTCCCAGTAAAATTCCGGTCTATTCCTCCTACAGGACACCACACTCTGTCCTTCACAATACACTAAGAGTGGAAGTTGTTTTTCCAGAACCAACTCTTTCTCCCATTCACTGTTTATACCTCAACCTGTCTCCTAACCTGTCTCACGACCTACCTCTCAACCTCTATTCCAATCCCTCCTCAACCAACCCTCTCCTCAACTACCTGTCTCTCTTCAAATCCTCTCCTTTTAAACTCTCCCTCCTGGAACCACTACCAATTAGAGGCTGCCGTTCGTTAACCATATGCTGGCAGGGAAAGAAAGAAAGAAAAGAAACACTTGTTAAACCAACCTGTCCAGCAAAACCAACTTTTTCGTCACACGGTAGAGGTCTGACCAAGGCAGAATAGAGTGGTACTATTATTTCCTTTGGTCTAGATACTATGCTTCTGTTGATGTAGCCTAGGATTGTATCAGCTACTGCATCAATCTATTGACTCACGTTAAGCTTGCGGTCTACTAAGACTCCAGGATCATTTCATATGTACTGCTGTCAAGCCAGGTGTCCCCCATCCTATATCTGTTCACCTGATTATTGCTGCCTAAGTGCAGAACCTTACATTTGTCCCTGTTGAAATTCATTCAGTTTGGTCCAGTTCTCCAATCTGTCAAGGTCATTTGAATCCTGCTACCACTCCCAGTTTCATGGCATCTGCAAATTTGATGAACGTCCTCTCAATTCCTCCATCTAAATCACTTATGAAGATGTTGAACCACACCAGGCCCAGGAAAGAATTGCACTCAAGTGCAATTACCAAAGCTCTTGGCATTAATTTTAGGTGTTTAAGGTCAAGAATCAGCCCCCTCAAAGCATGAAATGGGCTGGGAAACCAAGAGATATGAACATCAAATGAATATGGAATTTTAGCTATTAATTTTTTTTCAATTACACTTCCAAGTTGTTTTGAGACGTGAGGACTAGAAATTTTATTTAAATTGAAAGGACTCCCAGAATTCTGATATGATCCATGTGTTAACCTGAATTGATAGGCAGGAAAATTGCCAGAGGGGCCTGTAAAAGACTAATAGATAAATTAATATGGGATCTTTCACACTCTTGATCTCAGATTGAAAGCCTACTTTGCTTCTGCCCAGCTTTCCATTTTTGCTGGTCTGACGCAGTTTAGCTAATCTGTGGTGCAAGGGCCGTAACTTGTATCTAGAGGTCACACTTTCAAAGAATAAAAGCGAACACGGTATCTCTAACAGCTGCGTAACCTTGTAGAAATCTTGATAATCAGCTGTGTAGAATTTGGTGTGGAATTAGAAAAAAATGTGCCCTAACTTTACAAATGATTGCTCTGCTCTGAAGTCTCTCTTACTTTCCCTCTGCAGCTGCTCTCCTCCCCAGATAAAAACCACAACTTCTTAATGTTGAGAGATAAATATTGGCAGCCCTTGGCTTTGCTTTTCATCGCCTGCCTGATGGGAAAATGCCAGGAAATTTGCATGCTTTTCCAAGCAAGTCTGTAGAGGTTTCTTTGACCAGATTTTGAATTTGGCACACAGTTCCCAACTTCTCTAGATAAAAACGGTAGAATTCATTTGGATCTCATGTTCAGTGAACCATTGCTCAAATTTAGCATGTAATAAAAGCCTATCCTTTAAAATAAAAAGCTTTTCTGTCTCATAATAACATGGCTATTAAAAATAAATGGTTAAAGGCAGTCCTCTTTAATGTTGCCATGTAAATAAAACATGCCTTTCATATTGAAAAGCTTTATCTTTTGGAGCACATACAACAATATGGCTGATAGCTTCCTACCAATGGCCACATAACTTGGACTCTAAAGTGCTTTGGAATGGATGTGGATATTATTGCTGATCCTACGCACAGCCCTATTTTGCTGATTCACTCCCTCATCCAAACAGTGTGGGAACTCTTTCTCCTATCTTCTGTTTATATAAAAGCCGGCTCCTAACATATTATGGTAACCTAGAAATAGCACA